TGGAAATAAAGACAGTTTTGTAAAGAATGTTGTAAAATTTCTTGTAAAAAATGTAAAGAATAAGTAATTTAATAAAAACATATTTATAGAAAATAAAAAAATACATTTCTAAAAATAAAAATATGGGGTACTAAAGCAGTAAAGATTATAACTACCATCAGAAAAAAATCCTTACTGTTTAGCCCTCATTATGAAATTTAAGATTAAAGTTAAAAAATCTCCCACTGACACAGTGGAATCAAATTATAATTGCACTGAATTGCACACTGAATCTTCCTTTCATATATTAAACCATTTACAGCTGCTTTGACAAGGCATAGTGACTATATAGTATATCCTCTCTGCAATGTGCATCTAGTTTTTCCCTATCATCAACAAAGGCTAATAAAAACAGTTTTAAGAAAGTGACAGAGTGGCTACTTACCTTCTCAGGTAACTGAGACTCCACCTCTTTCTTCAGTCTGCGCAAAAGGAAGGGACGTAACACCTTATGCAAACGACGAATGATAAGGATGGTCTCCTCTTCATTTAGATCCACCTAACAAACATCAATGCAATCCGTAACAGAGAGAAACCTCATTAAGCTACAGTGTAATGTGTAAAATAGCCAGGTAAATTTACAAGGGTGAAATATAATAATCTACCCTCTCTCCTGTCATTGCAAATGGAGCATTGAACCACTGCTCAAAGGTGCTGCAGCTTTTGAAGATGGTGGGCAACAGGAAGTTGAGCAGGGCCCAGAGCTCGGGCAATTTGTTCTGCAGAGGGGTTCCAGTGAGTAACAGCCTCCTAGGAGCGACATAGTGGGTGTTCAACACCTGTGTGAGCTTGCAGTGATGGTTCTTCATACGGTGGCCCTCATCCACAATCATATATTTCCAGCGAATCTGGGAATTACGAAGCAATCAACAATTAGAGCATAAAGGAGCTGATTTTTCTACAAATGTGCTTTGCATTGGCACAAAAAACTCCAAGGTCATGGGCTTAAGTTCCAGGGAATGAATGAATTCATAAATAAATGCTGTTCCTTTAAACTTTCTAATCATCAAAGGATCCTGAAAAAAGCATCACGGAAAACACAACGGCTTTCAACACAAGAAATCTAGCAGCTAATCAGCATATTAGAATGTTTTCATGAGACTGAAGACTGGAGTAATGGCTGCTGAAAATTCAGCTTTGCCATCACAGGAATAAATTGCATTATTAAAAAAATATTACAATAGAAAACAGAAATAGAACATTTCACAATATTGATATTTTTACTGTGTTTCTGATCAAATAAATGCAGCCTTGGTGAGCATAAAATACTTTTATCAACAACATTAAAATACCTTACCAACCCCAAATTTTTTAACATAAGTTTATATCTAGAATGAACTGTAAGTTACTTTAGATAAAAGCATCTGAAAATTCATAAAAGTAAGCGTGTGTCTTTTACCTTGGCGAGAATGTGCTTGTCTTTGATGATGTACTCGTAGGTGGTTATAAGGACATTAAACTTCCCACTGCGAAGCTGCGGCACCAAAGACCTCCGCATTGATGGTGTGCCCTTAGACAAATTAAAACAAAATGCCTCTGATTTTATTACTTTTATGCTTTATTACATCGTAAAATTATATTGGCCACATTAAAGTGACGTGACATGTGGCCAAGTATGGTTACCCATACTCGGAATTAGTGCTCTGCATTTATCCCATCCAAAGTGCACGCACACACACACACACACACACACACACACCGTGAACACACACCCGGAGCAGTGGGCAGCCATCTTTTGCTGCGGCGCCCGGGGAGCAGTTGGGGGTTCGGTGCCTTGCTCAAAGGTGGGAGAGAGCACTGTACATTCACTCCCCCCACCTACAATCCCTGCCGGTACGAGACTCGAACCCGCAACCTTTGGGTTACGAGTCCAACTCTCTAACCATTAGGCCATGACTTCCCCACAAAACATAGTGATCATAAAAATCAATGGCTACCTTGTAGGCAATTTTCACAATACTTGGTGCCCACTTGTCCAGCTCATTAACCCAGTTGGACAAAGTCCTGTAAAAAAGAGGAACGAAAATCAATACTGTCATTTTTATACCAGAAGCCACTGATATGGAATAAACGTTTTACCACTAAAATAAGGTCATATCTCTAAATGATATGTGATGGTGTGATCGTGGAGCAGAGTTAATGATGGATGTGAGGTGAGGCGGTTTGAGGACATTTCTGGCACTTGCACAAATCAATCACAATAACTTAAGCTAAAACAGCGCTGATGGCCATTTTCACCGTGGCTTGTGACATCTCTGTCTCTGTGACATCAGTGCTAAAGCAGCCTAAATGCATGCTAGTAAGAAAATAAGATAACTCCAAATACACAAATAATGTAACAAGATGTTCTACCATCAGAGAATCCATTTAATTCAATCTCCAACCAACCAACCATGCATGATCAATGACGACTGTTTAGTGACCTTATAGTGCTGTGTCATATGTCCCCTCTAAAACGCAACATCACGAATCACTATCATGAACCAATATGGCATTTTCAGTCATTAGAGGTCAACTGAACTGTGTGTAACAGTGTTTAGCTACTTAATGAAGCCCTTACGTCGCAAATCCTCTTAGGCAGCTCAGCTCATTACACCTCTTATCACATTATTCACAGCTTGTTTGCTGGACTTACGAGAGCGGTACGATGATGAGGTACGGCCCGTTGAGCCTCTTGTGTTCCATCAGATAAGTGATAAGTGCAATAGTCTGAATGGTCTTCCCCAGTCCCATCTCATCGGCCAGAATACCATTCAGGTTGTTGTTGTACAAAGACACCATCCATTCCAGACCCTGGATCTGAACAAAAAGACTTGCGTTATACAGTGGAAATATCATATACAATCATCAGGAACAAACAATTGAGTAGACGCATTACACACAGATTCTACAACTGTTCATTGAACAACATGGGACAAAAGACCCAATTGGTGTTTCACAGCCACCGAGTGGAATCAAAGCATGAATCCCTAGTGCTCACTTAGTTCTTTCAAAGGATAAACAGTCTCCCTGAAGTTTTTAAAACACCTCAGCAATCAGGTGGGGAAGAAAAGAAAATTAGAAGATAAGAGGCCTGTTTTCTCCTTTTGAAATCCATTATTGCCCAAAGGGGATAACAGATTCAATACAAACCACTCAATCTTTGATAATTCCCCTCTATGTGATTTCTTTCCAAAAGCCTCTTCCATTTCTAGAGTATAATCCCTTGAAATATAATTTAAACCTGCACAGCTCTCTTCAGAGAAGATGGATTCTGAGTATAATGTATCTTTGGATGTGTCTATTCAGAGTCTGGTTTAACATTTGCTTTACCTGGTAATGTTTGAGGGTCCCATTGATCAGTAGGGTGGACTGTTTATCCACCCTCTCTATGACCGTGTGGGCCACTCCATAGTAAGACTGGGAGCTGGTCTGTCCCGCCTGAACACTGTACTCATCATCCACATCCTGTTTAGCAGACCTGCAACACAGGGTCCAAAATTAAAAGGGACAGTTCACCCAAAAATGAAAAGTCTGTCATCATTTACTCACCCTCATGTTGTTCTAAACCCAAGACTTTTGTTCATCTTCAAAAAACTGAAGATATGTTTAATATTCTCTCATAATTGATGCCCATCCATTAGAAGTTCAAGCAATAAAAATATTCACGCATCAAAAAAGCACTTACGTTTACCATATTTGATGTGCTCTATGTATGTGCATTGACCAATGATTATATATGAATAAACGCCTAAAATAAATGTTCACGTATAGCAATCATGTCTCTACACCTGGATTAAACCGCTTGATTTATATGGATTTCTTTTACATAACTATTTGAAGTATAATACAGTTTTGGTTGCATGGACTTTAAAGGGATCAACAAAAATGATTAAAGAATATTAAAAATATCATTTGTGTTCTGAAGATGAATGGAAATCTAATGAGTGAAAAACGACATGAGAGTGAGTAAATGATGACAGTATTAATTTGTGGGTGTACTATCGCTTTAACATACTGTATTACCACACCGGCCAATGGCAGCTGAATTGCGAAAATGTACCAGCCATAAAAAGTTTATTTCCTGTCATGTAACTCAATTTTATTCTGTTTTTATGAAAATTATTATTATTATTGTCTATTATACTTGCAACAAGGTAAAACTGCACATTTCACTAAAATCTTTTGTCTGTCTAATATGTAAAATAAATGCATTAAAACTGGATGCACAACACTTTAGAAATATACAATACACATGTACAGTCTCTGGCCACTGTAAATCCACTGGTCGGCATGGTGCTATGAATGCAAGGTCATGGGTTCAATGCTCAGGGAACACACATACTGATAAAATGCATAGAATGCAATTGGATTTCCAGTGTCTGCTGAATTCATGTAAACGAGTAGGACTGAATTGTTTCAACAGGTTCTGGAAACAATCCATAAAGATTACTGTCAATGTTGACATGATCTACAACTCCATCAATGGGGCTCTCCTTTGTTGAAAATTGGTGGACATGTTCATTGAGCCAGCGTGAAATGACACATGCCTTGTGGTTCTACAGAAAACACCAAAACAAAGCAGAAAATTCATGCAGACTATGAGATCAGAGGCTGTGCTGACTGGCAGCAATACGCAAGCAGGCTGTGCCATTCAAACAAAGCTCAGTTTGTAATAAGACATTTCCATCAGCCTGATCCACTGACACAAGGCAGAAGGGATCTATGGATTTATGTTGTGAAACCTGATGTGCTGTTCTGTTGCTATAGCCTATTCAGTTCTAGGCTGAACGTGTTGTGCATTCAGACATTCTCTCCTGCACAGCACTGTTGTAATGTTTGGCTATTTCTGTTCCTTCATCTTCCTGACAGCTTGAACCACTCTGCCCATTCTCCTCCGACCTCTCTCATTGACAAGGAATTTTTCACCCACAGAACTGCCCACTCACTGGGTGTTTTTTAGTTTTCACACCACTCTCTAGAAACTCTAGAGACTGTTATGTGTGAAAGTCCCAGGAGATCAGCAGCTCCCGAGACACTGTAACCCCATCTGGCCCCCACAATCACTTCACAGTCTAAGAGTGAATGTGTAGCTAATGAAGTGCCCATTGAGGGTATTTAGAGGAAAACTTCAGCTTATTCAAATTTGAGATTGTGTCAACTTAAAAATACATACATTATATATGTTTTTGTTAGAATTTTGAATTAGATTTTTATTTTATTTCAGGTTAATTTTAGTTAAAGTTTTAGTAATTTTGGTGTGTCATTATTCGTTTTTTTGTTTTATTAATTTATTTTATTTCAAGAAACGAAAAACGTTTTTTAATGGTTTTAGTTTTAGTTAACTATAATAAACCTGCTTTGAATCATCTCAAATCATGACCAGAGAGACATCAGCCTAAGTGCTGCTGTCATTAAAGTAAAAGAGGGACATAGCAAATACTTAAATATATACTGAATTTCCATGTTTCGTTCAAATTGTTCAACTGATAATAACAATTTGCAATGAAAATAAAAATGTATAAAATTGGAAAATTGCACAATAGAAAAATTTTCACAAGTGGTCTTTTGAACCCCACTGTACATAATATATATTGTCCAGCAAAGCGAAACCTCCAGCAGAGGCAGATGCTGACAGAAGTAAGAAAAGAAGAAGAACACAAAACAGCTATCAACACCCAAATCATGCTGTCTTACTTTTCCTGCACTCCAGCTCAACAGGGCATTTTTTGCTTTGAAGTGAGAACAGGCAACATACTCTATGATGTGCTTGGCTGCTGTTTCAGATACTTCATCACTGTTGGGATCGATGACTTTCTTTTCTTCCGATTCAGCTCTGGAGACCACCTCTTCATCATCCTAAAAGGGAGTATTAGAGAATTATGCTCATTTAATGCACAGTGATTGCTCGACACAATATAGGATCATACGCTAAAACAGAAAGGAGTTATTAAGGCAGATGCTGAAAGGCTTATGGGAGATGCTTTATGGATGCAGAGAAAAGGATAATAATGTGTGTGAGTTTGTGTACTTATGTATGACTCACTCCACACCAAGGAGCTGTCAATGCTTAATGAGTAGAAATAAGAGGACACTCACCTCCTCTTCAAATTCCGAGCCACTCTCTTCACTGTCTGACCGTGGAGCAACTTCATATCTGTTTTAAAGGGCATAATGCACTAGTAAACACTCGAAGCCATAGAAGGATTTATTGACAATATAAGCTTAAAAAGGTGCACAAACAAACAAAAACAATAGAAGAATCGTGGAGCTCAGCGTCCTTGCTGCCATTTGCGGCGCCATGCTGGTATCGAATCAAATTCGATACCAGCATGGTATCAAAGCTTATCAAAGCTTTCCCCCTACAGTTAAATTAAAATATGCTACAAAGGATGCTTGCACAAAGCTGTAGTCTCTGTCAAATAGGTCATTTTCATTTCAAGCCGACTTTAATATTATTAATTTTGTTTTAATTTACAGTTAATATTAATGTAGTGAATATGTTTTTGCTAAACAGAGTTTTTGTTAGGTTGACAGTTTTGTAGTATGTAATTTGATCTTTTTTTTCTTAGCAGAAGCTTTATGATGATATACAGGTGCAGTAATTTCAACTCAAATTATATTTTATGTCCCTGGCCTGTATTTTTTTTATTTGGTGAGTAGCAGAATAGCACCTTATTTCAGTGACCAAAATTTTAGTGCATCTCTTTCCTTCAGTGCATTTCAGTTTATCCATCAATTCCTTCATCACTCACTGCTGTAAACACATGGCTCACCGCAGCTTCACAGCTCACTTACGAGTGATATACAAGAGATGTTTTCAATTACCAGACACACAGAGGATGCAATGTAAGGACAGCTTACCCAGGGTTCATCTCGAGCCAGGCCTCTAACTGACTGGACTTGGGGGCATCTGTCCCCTGTAGCACTTTCCCCGTCTCTGTCTGAATGACTTTGACTGGCAGCTCACTCATCTGACTGTTCTCATCTATGAGCTGCTCGAATAAGTAAACATAAACGCAAGCTTTCTGTGACAGGCTGTGTTAGATTAGGTTTGACAGAGTGAGTTTACCAGAAGGACACACATTGGTCGGTTATCCACATTTCTGCTCTCATTTTCATAGCAATTTACTTACCTCTCCATCAGGCCCGATGGCTCCCATTCCTTCAGCATCCCCAGTTTCCTTCTAAAGGTTAAACATGAAAGAAAGAAATAAGCATTGCGTGTTTGATGATTGTAGACTTCATTGATTGAACTTGAGATTTATGCAAACCACAGTGGGATAAACTGTAAGCAACTGAACCAAATGAAGCATGTCTAAAGTAAACGTATAGTTTACTATCAAACTTGAGCATGAGTGATTTTATGGTTTATTTTCCATAGTCATGTCGCCTCACACCTTCTTCTTCTTTCTCTTCCTCTTCTTCTCCTTGGCAGCCTGAGCAGCCCTGTGCTCATAGACAAGCTCAGTCAGGTTGGCCACGTATTCATCTGTCTGTTGAAGAAGGTAGGCCAGGCGCTTGTCCTTCTTTTGATCAATTAGCTTCCTGTAACCTTCTTCATCCTCAGCCTAGGGAAAACAGATGGAGAGCCTGTGAGAATCTTTAAGGAACATCTCTTCTCTAAGAGCTTTAAAAGGATTCAGTTTTTGTCTCCTCCATATGTATAATTTTTGTCAGTAAATATATATAGATTGTTATTTTTTTTTTTAAATGAAACTTTTTTAACATTTCATTCAAAAAGTACACCATACTGGTTCACGGTTTGAGTCAGATCTGACACATGTGAGTAAGTCATGATTCAGTCTAATGACTCTGGGATTGATTCAGAATGATTCACCAATCCGTTAATTAAATCTTTAAAATAATTCATTAAAAAGAATGAATCAATGATCAAGAGAAGGAAATTGAGTGATTTGTCACCAACTGAGTGATTTGTTCAAGAACTGGACAGTACGATGTGCTGTATGCTCATTTTTGAATGAAGTCAGTAACGACAATAAAACAGTTTTTATAGTTTTATATATGATGCTGGAAACAGTGCACCTTACCATCAGTCTCCTCATCCTCTCTTTCTCGATTCTTTCCGTCTCCTTCTTCTGCTCTCTCTCGGTGTTGGTGTGCCATGTGGCGATGGCTTTAGACAGCTTTTGGATTTTTCCAGAGATGGACCTGTGATATTCCTTGAAATCTTTAGCATGCTGCAGAATGCTGTTGAGATACTCCTACAACAAGAAACAGAAAACACAGAATGAATCAAAGAGCAAAGTCCAGAGTTTGGGGTCAGCAAGATTTAATGTTTTTAAACAAAGTCTCATATGCTAACCAAGGCTGTATTTACAGTATTTAATCAAAAAATAGGTAATATTGGGAAAAAATATTACAATTTAAAAGAACTGTGGTGGCAAAACTGTATTTTCAGCAGCCATAACTCCAGTCTTCAGTGTTAACATGATCCTTCAGAAATTATACTAAAATGCTGATTTGTTTCTCTAGAAACATTTCTTATTATCAGCGCTTCAACAGTTGATACATTTGTTTTTCAGAATTCTTTGATGGATGAAAAGTTCAAAAGAACAACATTTATTTGAAATACATATTGTTTTAACATTACAAAAGTATTCTTTTGTAGAGCACCAGTGTACATGCTAGTCAGGGTTTGTAAACATAATTTAGTTGTTCATTTCCAAACTCTCTCTGACGCTAAAAATAAAACTGCTTGGTGCTTTTAGACTTTATGCAAATGCACCCTTTGCATATTAAATGAAAAACATTCTGTGCTCAGACCTGCGCCATATTAGAAAAACATCCTCTTAGCAAACACTGCCTTTACATGCGATAGGTTCATAAAACAATCAAATGTGCTGCACAAACTGTCAGACTGAAATACATAGACATCTTAAAGAAACTTCAGCCACTGGTTTCTAATGCTAGGAACTCTCAGAAGGTCAGGCAGAGCATTAGGTATTACACAGTCAGGAAGAGCACTTTTCGATGCTTTTAGTCTCCATACTTGTTCTGATGTTTAAGAATAACAGCACGCACTTCCCCTTATTGCCTCACTGTGACTGTGCAGGCCAGGAAAATTTGATTCCTTATAATATGACCCTCTACAGGGTTTCTGCAGACTTGAACAAGTTAAATTTAAGACTTTTTAAGACCTTTTTAATACCACCTTATATGAAATTTAAGACCTAAACCTGTAATGGAAATACACATTTTATTACATACATATATGTAATATTTAATGTGTATAAATTAAAAAGAAAACAAAATATCAATGCTGTAATAAATGGTATTTATTACTATGATATACAGTGAACTTTTCATGTCAGCAGACAATATTCCATACAAAATATCCCCACAAAATAACTGCATCACTGAGATTTTTGGTGGAGTAAACAATTTATTCTGAAGCAATATTTTCATCAGTGTTCTATCAGCTTTTACATACTTAAATCTGCATATTTACCTTTACAACGGCCTATTTTTAACCTTTTTAGATGTATGCATCATCTTACATGTCAAATTATTACAATTTATCAATAAATTCAATATACACTATAGGGCTGCTACCAGTCAGATTAAATAATTTACAC